GTCTTCATAGAACTGGTCAATTTCAGCCTCTTCAGCATCGGTGGTTGGTGCATAAATCTGGATTACTGTGATGCTGAAAGGTCTGCCTTGGATTCGTATTGAAAGCATTCTATCATTTTTGAGATTGTATCCCAGTACAGCTTTTCCCACTCTTTTGTTGACTATGAGGGCTACTCCATTTCTTCTACGGGATTCTTGCCCACAATAGTAGATGTGGTAATCATCTGAATTGAATTTGCCCATTCCCATCCATTTTAGTTCACTGATGCCCAGGATGTCAATGTTTATTCTTGCCATCTCCTGTTTGACCACATCCAGCTTACCAAGGTTCATAGATCTTACATTCCAGGTTCCTATGCAGTATTTTTCTTTGCAGCATCAGACTTTCCTTTCACTTCCAGGCATGTCCACAGGTGAGCGTCCTTTCGGCTTTGGCCCAACCACTTCATTAGCTCTGGAGCTACTTGTCCCTGTCCTCCACTCTTCCTCAGTAGCATGTTGGACGCCTTTTGACCTGAGGGGCCCATCTTCCAGCGTCATATCTTTTAGCCTTTTGTTTCTGTTCGTGGGGTTTTCTTGGCAAAGATACAGGAGTGGCTTGCCAGTTCTTGCTCCGGGTGGATCGCGTTTAGTCAGAACTCTCCACTATGACCTGTCTGTCTTGGGTGTCCCTGCACGGCATAGCCCATAGTTTCTCTGAATTACCCACACCCCTTTGTCACGACAAGGCAGCAATCCATGAAGGGGAGGAGCTAAATTACCTTTTCTAAAACTGAAAATAAAGGACTAGGGTGTACACATTTCTGCATGATAGTGGTATTCAATTTCCTTCAAAAAGTTGTCCACAATGTTAGGGAAGCTCAGAAAAGTCATACAGATTTGGTTTTCATTTGTGCTTTCCCCCATCTCCCCTTTACATTTCAGAATGAAGAAGCCAAACAGTTTCTGTGCATAAAATTCAAGGTGCAGAACAACTGGGGCAATGTGGAGTTCACTTGCATTTATCGACTGAGAGTGCATGGGAAGAAGGCCACTAACTTGGATGCTTTCAATGAAGGCAAGGGGTGAAAAATTTGCAAGATAAATAAAGGAAAGAACGAATATGAACACTCATCCTGATGAGCAAACTGTAAAGATTGAACAAAGCTTGCTCTGATTTTTTTTGTAAGGGAGGGTGGGGAGGGACATGTGGAGGGGGTGGATTTGAAATTATGGCAGTATCATTAGCTCTTGACAGAATATGCCCACATGGAGACCTCCCTTGTGGTCTATCTGAGAAACAGATGAAGAAAACAATAGTAGTCAGATCAATGCAAAGTCATGATATTGGTGAACTGTACATAAGTTACATGAAAAATGAAAGAAGTATGGACATAGGTGTTCTCCCAATAAAGAGTTTTGTCCAAAGTGACATTTTGATAATAAAAAGAGCCATGTTGGATAAGACTGAAGCTCTATCCGGTGCAGTATTCTGTTTACTCAGTGGCTAAACTGTTGTCGAGGAGAAACCCATCAGCAGGACAGAAATACATCAAGACATGAGCTTTGAGTGAAATAATCATGCTAACAACTGTCTTTGACCATAATGATCATGGGCTGTGCCATGGTTTTGTTCTAGAATTTTTCTCCACTTAAAGGGACTCTTGGTGAACCTTAGGTCAATTCTACACCAAAGATCTATATTGCTATAGCTTTGCATTTGTTTGGTCACTTCAAAGGCCATATGGGCAGAAACCAGAGTGAACCTCCATTTGCACTGGGTTTTCTGACTACAAATTAACCCAGGTTTTTTGTGTGTTTTGTTTTTAGTGCAGCTTGGTACTGATTTGTGAGTATGATATGCAAAGATGCAGCATGACTCCTGTGCAGCATTTAGACTGGGCTTTTGAGCAGTCTTTTATCTTCTTTTTCTAAGATAGTCATTTCTCATTCCATGTCTTTTACAACCACTATAGTAACTGCTGCCACCATTTGTCCTTTTAAAAAATTATTCCTTGGCTTTGACCACACAGGTGGACAATTGCAGTGCTCCCATTTTCACATCTCTGGTGTATTTTTATATG